TACCCAATTTTTATGAGTAACGATCATTGTTGAATGGTCGAGGTTTAATGCTTTTGTATATTTTAAATATTATTAGTCATTATTGGTGTAACAATGAAAGGTAAAGATGTGTTAGTTGTCACCAGTTTACAAAGAGATTACAATAAAAGTACTCAATGTATTTTGGGTTTTCACATTTCTAGTATAGTTTTCCAAATTTTAATACTTATCAGGATAATAGACCAAAAGTTATTGTAATGTTTTTTGCATGTGCATAGAAAATAACTTTTACCAGAATATAAAACAATAACAATTCCAACAGGCTCAACTGCACTGGTAGAAGCATGTCGTAACCGAGATCTTGGCATGCTGGACCTGCTACTTAAAAGCCATGCCAGAGATGATGAGTGCAAAGCACTCTTTATTGCTGCTCATGCCAAGGATGAAATCATCGTGTCCAAACTCCTGGCACTCAAGGTTTGCAAACTAATGTCTTTATCCAAAAGGGCTGCTCCATAAATGATCTATTACACTGTTTCTTTCAGTGTTATTTGTTGTATTAACTTACACTGAGGAAGGGAGTGAAATATGAAGTACAGTAGTAATTCCACAATATACATGCTGAAGAGCCATCAACAGTGTTTATTTCATGTACAGTATAGTTTTTAGGGAACAAATTACTGTACATCACAGCGATATCTTTTTATGGCAGTGGGTGTAGTATGAATTAGAAGGATTCATCCAGGCAGTGTTCACCTGTAGCTCTGAGTCATTACCTGCTGTAAACAGTATGGATAAAGGAAAAATGTTTTGTTGAGGATGAACATGGAAAGTAAAGGTTAGCCAAAGGCAAAAAAGAGTTAGTGTTCGATGGGAACAGTTTGGCTGTGAAGATTTTGATTGATAGTGGGCAGAAAGGAAAGGATGAAGAAGAGCAAAGGATATTCAGATTAATTATTTAGGAAGAAAATAATTGGAAAGAGGAAGATGTGTCGGTACAATTTAGAGGTACTAGTAGAAAGATGTATAGGCATTCCCTTAATTATGAAGATCCAATTTTTATATGACCTACTTGACTTATGACCATCCGGACAAACGACTGCCCCAGTCGTACCAAATTTTTTTCAAGTTACATACGTATTTTCGAGTCCCAACATCAGTGATTGCGCTGTGTACTGACAAAATTTTCGTTTGTAATTCCCTTTAAAATGGCTGGCAAGCTTAAAAGTGAGAGTTTTGTAGTGCTGAGAAGAAAAAGAGACACCCATTTTAGATTTTCTATGTATTATCTTCGCATTTTCGACTTATGACAATTTGACTTACGACCTGGATTTGGGTCCCTAACCCGTCGTAAGTCGAGGAGTGGCTGTATGTGTGTGTCTACATACACACACACATATACAATACTACAGGTAAAAGAAATAATTGTCCTCAAGGCAAACATATAAAGGGAATATACATTTCTTTGTACACAAGTAAAAATTTAATCCCCCCGTCTGCAAATGTTGTACGCGGATTTAGCGATTCGCAGCCACATTGAGAACCTAACCCCCGCGATTTTTATTTTTTGGTTGGGGGGGGGGTCCCTGTATTACTTTGATACAACATGATAAAATGGACAAACAATGAAAATGAAACAAACAAAAGCAGGTAATTACATTCCGGAAGCTTCCCTGTGGCTGAGCATGTGGTGTGACAGGCAAATAGTCACTCTGGAACCTGATAACCAGCTCTGGGCATTTAAAATGTGGCGGGAAAAGGCAAGCGCTCTGGAACGTCACCCGGGGCGTGCCAGTCGGGCGTTCTGGTATGTCACCCGGGGCGTAAGGGTTAAGGAAATAAAAAAAAAATAATAAAAAATACAGTTCAGAAAAAATCTTTTATGAAAGAAGAAAGAGAAAAGATATTGTACAAGATAATGATTGAAACCCACAAAAAATACAAAGGTTAGATAGTGTTCTTTTGATACCTTCTTTATTTTTATTTTTGCTTTCTTTTAGTTTGACTTATTAGTGGGAGCATGTGTGTTTCACAAATTCCATCAAGGATATGCCACCTTATATACTGTAGTGGGAGGTGCTTACAAAATAATCAGTTTGATTTTCTGATATTTTAATTTTACATTTTTTATCCAGGAATGCTTAAAGCTGTTCTGCAGTCAGTGTCAGGAATAAAATCTGCTTGCTCTAGTTTTCCTTGCCTCTAGGAACAACATTTTGTTTGTGTATAAATGTATACTGTATATTCTAAATACTGTATACTGTTTCATCTACAGGCACATCCAGATCCAGAATTCAAAGTGAATAAAAGAGCCCTTGAGATCAAACCGAGCCAACAGTTCAGTTCTCTGGGTGTGGGAAATGCTGGAGGAGTCTACTCTTCCCTAGCGCCGACCACACCGGTGATGATCAACTGGCATGGACAGCGCTGCCTCTCATATCTGAAAGTGAATACAAATTTATTTGTTTTTTCTCATTGAATTTTGTGTCTTTCCTCATTTTGACTTCAATAATGGAATTATACCATATGTGATAAATGAACAAAAGTTTCAAAATGCTTTACTTTTCCATAAATACACCAAGGTGTATCATCCACATAATTGAATGTAACATAAGTGGAAGTTATACTTGGTACTTCTGGATATTTCATAAATATTTATATTATCTGAAAATATCATGTTTTGTTTTACCTTGCAAGTAAAAAAAATGTATCCCTTACATTGTAGGACCAGTGGTTAGTGGATGCTTCAGTGAACCTCAATCCTAAGTTGAAACTCAGTCCACGTAATCAGGTCATTGCTCTCTATGCCATCACACGCTTGGACATTTCTAATAATGCCCTAACTGAACTTCCTGACATGATCTTCCAACTTCCTAGTTTGAAGGTATTACAAAAATTACTGGCAGTTAAAAACTATTTTACAGTTTTATAAACTGATGGATTATTTATCTATTTTTTTTATGTATAATACTCATTAAAAATTTAAGACTTCATCAATGGGTTAAGTGACAGGGGTGACTTTAGACTATGTACACCAGGTATAAATGACTTTTATGAATGATATGCTTTGTGGAGAAAAATTTTTTAGTAATGAGTAAGCTTAGTGATTGAAGTAAGTTGTTATAAACTATATCTTATTTACACAATTACAAACTGTCCTCAATTGTAAGCCAACAGGTGAGTTTTGAACATATTTCATGCAAAAAATATTTTACCTCACTTCTAAGACGCACCCTAGAGTTGAACCAATCACTTTAATCCTACGGTTGAGGCTATGGGAAAAAGGTTCTACCGCTGTATGTGCAAAAAATACAATAAAATAAAATGCAGACATAAAAAAGTTGCCTACTAAGAATGCATAAATTTATGCTTTATGTATTTCATGAAATTTAAAAATGTTGAAGTTTTCTACTATATTTGATGAATATTCTCTAAGTTACTTTAATATTTAAAATTATTATATTGGGAAGAAATACAGTACATTATATTCTTTTGTTTCTCGATGAGATCTATTAATTGGTAAGAAAAAAACTTGTAAAATGGTGACTGGTGGATAACGAAAAATTACCTTTTAATCTTTATAGTACTGTACAGTATACAGTTTTCTCTTTATTCATAAGACAAATTCTGTGGTTACGTGCTTATAACACTTTACAGTAAATAACAATCATCTCGGTGACAACAGTTGTTGACAACCAGACTTATGTCTGATTTTCAACCCAGAGAGTTCTGTTTCATATTTTTTTTATTGTTGATGTAATATTCTTTAATAACCTTGTTATACACTTAAAGACCTTAGTTGTTGAAGTAATTTTTTTTTTACAATTCAAATAAGCAGTGTTATCTTCACCCCGCCCTGCCCCGCCTCATATAGGGTATTCGCTTTTTTCGGACTGGGATCTGCCCCAATTAGTCCGGTTTGATCTAGTTGTTCCATCCATCTGGTTAATCATGACTGAACCACAAAAGTGTGGAAACTGGCCATTAAGCACTGATGATAATGATGATGATGACATAGCAGCCAGAAAAAAATAAGGTACATCTTTATTGTATTTTGGCATCTGTGTATAATAAGCTTGAAACCTTTATTGTCTTTATTGCATTATTATGACCTTATCATATATTCTCAGACATTAAATGCAGCTCAGAACAAAATAGAGAAATTGCCTCCAACCATTGGACAGTTTATTGATGGTACTGTGACTCTGCCAAGAAAAGGATCAAAAAAAGAACTCTTCATGGGCCCAGTATCAGTTTTAGAGGAAGTTCATCTCCAGGTAAGGCAAATCTCTGTCTTTTATATATATATATATATATATATATATATATATATATATATATATATATATATATATATATATATATATATATATATATATATATATATATATATATATATATATATATATATATATTACAGTATTTTTAAGTAGTTTGGGAATAAAAATTGTCTCTAAAATTTTCATTAAGATTGATTTAGAATAAACTGAGAAGTATGATATGATTTTAATAGCAGTGTTTATGCTTGCAGGACAACAGACTAGATTCTCTGCCAGATGGTATCTTCACACTTCCTGCCCTCCAGCTTCTTGATGTGTCAAATAACAAATTGTCATCACTGCCATACAAGATATGGACTGCTCCAAAATTACGAGAACTCAATGCTTCACTTAACCTACTTCATGACCTTCCTACACGGCCGGATGGACTTGGACATGATTCAGGTTAATTTTCACAAATGAGACTTTTGTTGAAATGGGTGTAGTAACTAACTTAAAAAATTTAGGAACGTGAAGATGGTCGAGTACCGGTCACACTGCCTCATTCCATACTGAAGGCCTAGTAAACAGGTGTGCACTCCCATATAAAAATGAGGTTCCAAATTTACTTTACCAGTCACTTAAAACAAGCTACCATCACTCGTCAACAGAATGTCTTTACCCTGAAACTCGATGCCATTTTCTCAGCTTGTTCCAACACACCACTGTGTGCTGGATGTCCATCCCCCTCATTTCTAGTGTGTCATGTTTATTATCATTCCATCTTTATGGTTTCACTTGTCTGATATTATCCACCTTTAAGTTATACACTCTTTTAACCAGTCTTTCTTTTCCCCTTCTCTTTGTATGTTCATACCTTGTGAGTATGCCTTGATCTGTTCTTCTCCTGACACTTCTTTCACTGCCACACCCCCTTTTTTTAAGTACTGTATTTCATATTCTATTTATCATATTTACTCCGCATATTGTTCTCTCGCACATAATTTCTATGAATTCTGATTTGTTCCTTCATTCTTCTTTGTTAATATTTTCATAATTTATAAATCTAGGTAGATAACATACAAATTACCACAGGGAATGACTAACCATGAATATTTCAGGGATGGGTTCAGATGCAATGAGTGAGATCAGTGATGAAGACAGCTTATCATCAACTAGCGATCTGCAGCTTAGTCTCTTAGATGATTCTACTGATGAGTCCCCTGCTCGCCGTAAGACCCCAGATCCAAGGTATGGAAAGAAAAGGAATAAGTCTACTGTACATTTTAGTATTGATATTGTATTTATATAATAATTTATGTATGGATGTATATTACTATGGAAACAGGTAATTTGCTTAGGGCTTGATGGACCTCCTCACTTTCCTTGTTGGGAGATGGGCGATCACAATCCTCCACTCTAAACTTTCTTGGGCTGTTTTTCCCTATCTTCCAAGGTTTTGTATCTTTCTGGGGACCCAGATTTTAATTTAATTCATCCATCCCAGTCTCTGGCTTCCCCTAGCCCTCCTCCCCTCAAATGGGATTCAGGTAAGCTCAAAACAGGGACAACGATAGAATATGAAATTGAAACTGAAAAAAGAATTTCAGTATTGCTAGAAGGTGAATTTGATGAACAAGGACCAAGATAACAATTTAATAATTACCCGGTACAAAGAAGTAATGTTAGAGACTGGGGAAAACTTATAGGACAGGAGGAATGAAACTAAAAGTAGACGGATGACAAATGGAATTTGAAAGAAAGTAGATAGACGAAGAAATATGAAAAACGAAGTGAAGGTTATGTAAAAATTAACAAAGAAATTCAAAGAGAATGCAGACAGGCCAAGAAAGATGATCTAGAAAGGAAATACAAGGAGATTGAAGATGATGACAGAAGATACAAGTATAGAGAAATGTACAAAATGATTAAATAATTGAACCAGAAAAAAGGAAATAAATGGGGTGGGACAATTAAAAGCAAAGACAATAACATCCTCTTTGAGACAGAAGAAGTAAAAGAGAGATGGGCAGAGTACAATGATAAGGATAGAATAGAGGGAAGAAACGAAAGGAAAATAAAGATTGAAACGACAGTTCAGAAATCAGACGTTTAGGCAGCTGTGAGCAAAATGAAAAATGCTAGGCTTTTGGGGTAGATCAGCTTCCAACAAAATTTATAAAACAAATGAGCAAGAATGCGATAAAATTTGGCTAAAATATGTAATTCTATACTGCCTATACTTCCCAATTATTTAAAAAAGTCAGTATTTGTATTATTACCTGAAAAGGCAAGAGCCTTAGAGTGCACCCAGTATAGAACAATAAGATTAATAGATCATTCCGACAAAGTTTTATTAAACATAATATTAAGTCAAATAAAGTTTAGAATAGAAAGTGAATTATCTGAAGAGCAAAATGGATTTAGAAAGGGAAAAGGAACTACAGAAGCTATATTTGGTTTGAGGATTTTGAGTTAACGGGCATTAGATCTTTTAAAAAATTTGTATATCTGCTTTAATAAAGGAGGTATAAGAATTTTAAACAATATTTACTGGCAACAGGAGGCTGCAGTGTTGGTAAAAATGAACTTACTAATTGGTTCACAGTTAGACAGGGAGTAAGACAAGGCTGTGTTCTATCTCCAACATTGTATAATCTATACAGTAAAACCTCAAGAAATCAGAATTGGCTTTTTATAAGCGAAAAACTTAAAATGTATTGTATACAGTATTCCTCGCTGCTACACACTTAATAATCTCCCCGCCTGACTGTCAACACCTCACCTCCCCCCCTCTTTCCAGCCAGAAGGCAATAAGGAGTTTGTGATGGCAGCAGGACACAGACTGAGTGGATGTAAACAAATCCGAAGCTCCAAGAGATGTGTGGTGTGTTTGGTGCAGAATTTAACGAAATCGCACTTGATTTAGTGAAATAGTTTGATAAATTGAGCCTAAATAAAGGAAATTCGATTTCGTGAAAATTTCAATTTAACGGAAAGGGGTGGCTCGAATTAGTTCGTTTTATCGAGAAAATACTGTATTCGTTTTTATCAGACTTTCTTATTTTTCGGACTGGAGTCTGTCCCAATTTGTCCGATTTTTTGAGGTTCTACTGTTTTCCGAATTCTTAATAAGAGAAGTTAGAAGTGACAAAAAATGGACTAAAAGTTGATGGTAAAGTAATATCATATACAGTACAGTCGGGATGTACAGTATAGCGGCTTTATATAAAAAAAAAAAATTATATCGCAGCTACCAAAATTATCAACATTTTCCTATATATAGCTACCCTGAGAGATTGGAGCTCCTGAACTTGCCTAGCTTATACTACAGATGGGCAAGGGGAGATCTAATTGAGGTGTACAAGCATCTCAAAGGGCACTACTCAGTCGAATGCCCCTACCTGGAGCTGGCGGATGCTCTCCCCACAAGGGGACACAGCTCAAGGTTAAAGAAGCCGCAAGTCCAGATAACTGTGAGGGGTAACTTTTTCAGAGTAAGAGTTGTGAACTCATGGAACAACCTGCCAGAGAGTGTTGTGACGGCACCGAGTGTGAGCTCTCTCAAGACCAGACTGGATAAACACTGAAGCAGGTTCAGATAATTCAAGAGCCAGTGCATGCCCAGTACTTGCCAACAGTGTGTAGCAGAGATGTAACTGATCGCCCAAGCGGCTAACGGGCCGATCAGTGGTGAAGAGGATAAAAATAGATTAAGTGAAAGTTGCATAAGAAAACCCCCAGCAAATATGCATAGAATCATTCAGACCTGAAGCACAAGCTGGGAATACCACACTTATTTGTGGCAGCACATTATATGCATAATTTGTGTTTTTTCCAATGTATTTCTATCCTTACTTAACATTTTTAGATTTGGGCAGGCCCTCTCCCGCAAAATGCGCAGGGTCTGGCCTGTTGCTTACCTCACTGCACTTGACTGCACCATACAAGAGATAATTGTATGTAATGAATCATAGCAAACTTGCTATTTGAGATAGAAAGGTGGGATTTTATGCTTTAGCATTGTTAGAAAATTATCTCCAAATCCTTATATATAAGTAATCATGATAAAATAATTATTTTTATACATAAGCACGACTGGAAAACAAAGTTTTGTTTTCTCTTAATGAAAATGTTTATGCATCACTTTATACCTTCGTTATTTCATGTGATTGCAATATGAACCGTATTCCGTTATAAAGTGTACATATTTATGAAAATATAGTTAAAGAAGAAAAGTTGTGAAAAAAATAATAATTTGCGAGGGAGAAGCATCAGGGGGCACCACACGTTCACCAATTGGTGCAATCTACTTGTACTTTTAACTTTTTCTCACCTGTCCACCCTCGCCAGCAAGATGAGGCAGGGTTCAAAACTCTCACAACATTGTTATGAATGCTGTAAATGAAATCACTGTGATGCATGAGAATTTAGCACAAGCCACAAGGAAATGCATGGGAAATGTGGGTCAAAGTTGTATCCTGGGTCCAAAAACACAAAAGGGAGACTGGTGTTGGTACCTTGGAGTGCACTGACATTGCACTGACATTGCCAAATGTGCATCTTGTGTGTTCAGCATTCATACACAAACATAAAATTATTTTATTTTATTTTTTACATCATATGCGAATTTGCATATGAAAACCCCAAGAGTGTTAATAAATACTATATTGTAACTGCACAAGTAACTAATTAACCTATCCCATCCCTCTATAGCCCCTGAACACCCTCCTCAACCTCCATAAACCATCACTTTTCACGCACCTGCCCAGTCATCCCTTGAACCCACCTCTCCTCCTCACTCGTGAATGCTTCAGATTCACGAGTGAGTACTCACAGGGTTCACACCTCACCATGCAGAAAAGGTCTTAACTTTATGTAAATATACTGTATTTATATATGATAGTGACCTTGGACTCATTAATCACTCATATTATTTTCCTTCATGTATGCTGGTTTTATTGTGGCAGTCAACCTTTCACCTTCTCTTCTTTTGGGATCGAACTCATTTCTGTGGCAAAAATTTTGAAGTTGTGATAATGATCTTATTGAACGGTTTAGAGGTAATTGAAGTGTATACTAATACCTTATATGCTAAGTACAGTAATATATCCATCAGCCGGAATCCCTCAAACCCTGAACTCTCCAATAGCTGGAATTAAAATTTTCTAAGAGGGACATTTTCTTGAAAATTCCAAGAAAATTTTCCCAGTACCCAAAAAATTCCGGGGATGGGGGGAGTTTTTTCAGGTTTGAGAGAGTCGTCTTGTTACCCGGAAATCTTTCATTCCCAGAAATGCTCTGCACCAATTGTTCCGGCTGACTGAGATAACACTACTCACTTGTGGCTCACACATGCATTGACAGCCATTTTTCTTTGTCTTTCTTTCAATTTTCCATTGGAGTATGTGAATACCTGAGTCTGAGGCAGATGCAACCGAATATAAGACTGTCATACTTCTAATTATTTTTTTCCTTTTCCACCATCAGAGGAGTGCTGTCTTTAGGGAAGCATGGAAATGTCATCACTTGCTGTCGTCGTCGAGAATTGAAGCATCACAGCTTGTGGTCCAATTCAATAGAAATCCAGGAATCCTTGGTAGGAGTGAGAGAGACTGAAGAAGAGACTTTGTCCAATTTACAATCTCTCAACTTATCCCACAATGCCTTCACATCCGTTCCCAGTGGTCTGGCTTGCCTGGCACTCTCCCTTAACCGTCTCAATTTTAGCTATAATAGGTAAGACACCAGAAGTAACTTGTACAAATTTACATGGACATCTTTTCTCTATCCCTCTGCTCTCAAAATTCTCAGTCATACTTCCCATTCTGTGTTTCCATTTCTCTATTCTATTTAGTATTGTTTAAACTCGGTAATTAGATATAAATACAGTAAACCAAAATACATATCTAAATACATTTTTTCACCTTTGCAAAGTTTTCCTACATTGTTCAGGGTGGCAGGAATCAATATCAATACGGACTCTCTCATTATTTGAAGTCATCATTTTCCAAAGCTGTAACAAATGTGTTCTACTATGATGTTTCCTTTCTAAACTATGCCCCTGGCCCCAGATCTTGACAGGCCCCAAAAAATTTGTGAATTAAATCTTTTATGTACTTTCTCTTTATACAAATGAAAATAGCTGTCTAGACATGGTGTAAAAGTTTGAGAGTGTGTGATGCTGCTGTGACAGTGTGCTGTATGTCTGTGAGGGTGTGTGAGGCTGCTGTGATGGTTATATGTCTGTGAGATCTGTTTGCAGCAAAGTGTGTATTTTAATGGTAGGATTTTTTTTCTTCACTGAGAATATGGGTTTTTTGATGAAGTCTTCATTCACACACCTAATTCACAGAGTATCATATGTATAACACTGCACTTTACAGACTAAATGAAATGGGTTCAGCCAGCAACTACCCAGTTGGTTTGAAACAATTAGATCTATCTCACAACCGTATCCGAGCCTGGCCCACTGTGGCCCGTAGTGAGTCTCTGGAAAGTCTGGAGTCTACTGTATCATCTTGCTATGCACTCGCAGAACTCTCCAAGAGTAGCAGATTTTCATGCCAAGGTATGATATTGCATTTTGGTTTCTAGTATATAATACATTCTTGTTCCATTTGTAAAGCTTAGGCTGTATTATAGTATTCAATGTATAGCACTGCATATCAAAAGTTACTTTAATGCAAGCATTTTGTGCATTTGATCATATTGCTATTTTTACTTGCCCCCAAAAATGAAAATTAGCTTTAAATATGCAATACTAAAATGTAATGGGTGGGATTGAGAACTTGTCAGTATATAAAAAGATTGTAATGTGCATGCACTACAAATGGTGTTACTGTTTCTTCTCCCTTCCCTATGTTGTACGAGTAGTTAGGACTAGTAAATACCTACCCTTTTCCTTCCTCCCATATTACACTTACACAGGTCGCAAGTTTAGTCAGAATTTGAGTGTGAATCGTGTACGAGGAGGCACAAATTCTCCCCTCGGTTCTTCCCCAACACCTGGTCACTGCATCCATCGTCGTCATATTCGCCTTGAGTCTCTAAGGACTTTAATCTTGGCGGATAATCAACTGACTCGACTGTGCCTCTATCTAGATGACAACGAATTTTCACTAGCAAATGAAGTTGATGAAAATGAAGTGAGTAAATATTTTTTGGTAATTAATTATGGTATAGGTATACCACCGATTTTCCGGCACCCTTGGTTCCAAAGCCTTGCTGGATTATCTGTTTTGCCGAACCAACCGAGGTCAGGTAATAATAATTCAACAATACAACTCTGACCCACTAATTATACACCTCCTGTGTCTCTAGAGCACCATGAACTGCTAGAAACATAAATTAAACAAATATTAAATGTAAATTAAATGTGAAAAAGCTATAGTTTTGAGCACCATATTACTGTACTACACACATTTTACTCAAATGTACTAAGCTAATTACTAAAAAAAATTATGTCTTGTGCAAACAATGTGATGTTTATACTCAAATTAATCACTATCTTGCAAGGATTCCAGCAATACAGATTATGTTCTGCTAAGTCTACTCAACGACATTTTATAAGATAATAACTTTAAGCCTAAAACCACCTTCACCCTGGCTGGAAGGAAAGGGGGAGGGGGAGGTGAGGTGTTGACAGTTGTCAGGGAGGGGAGATAACAAAGTGTGTAGTTATCAAATAGAAGGAGTTTAAGTTTTGCCTTATAAAATGTCACTGCATTGACTTGACAGTATATAACCTGCATTGCTGTAATTCTTGTAAGATAGTGATTAATTTAAGTACAAACACACCATAGTTTGCTCTAGACATAAAAATTTTAGTAATTAACTTAGTACATTTGAGTACAGGTTTGCCTTTAGGACAATTATTTCTTTTACTCTTTTTCACATTATGTATTTAGGATGGTGTGTGCATGTAAATGAGTGAAAATAGATGAAGAAAGTTTTATATATCTACCAGAAAATGAGTTGAAAAACAACCATAACACCTCACAGCTTGGCCCAGTAGCCCGGTGGTTGCAGTGTTGAGTCTAACTTGGCTACGGTGCCATGATTAATTACTATTAAGCATTATTATATCAGTAAACACTAATAGTAACAGTAAATCCATTGAAATATGTCAGGAAGGGAGGGAAGTTAAGTGCCCCCTCGTAATTTTGTCCAGACTAAAGGAGGTGCCGGACCATCAGTTCCCGGAAAATTGGTGGTGTACCTGTATATAGATCCATTTGTATACTAATTCTTATAGTTTGCTTGCTAATTTATTATTATGAATGAATCAAATGCATAAGCAATACTATTGCTTATGATAATGCTATTTTCAGACAAGCACCGTCCGAGCCTCTACCCCTAGGAAGTCCTGGTTATTATTCCCAAATCTCTCGATGTTGGACGTTAGCAACAATCTCCTCCGTGATTTACCTACAACACTTCATGAGCTTACTAACTTATCTGTAAGTTAAAACTTTATACATGTACTGGGTAGTTCTTTTGTTTCCTATATTCTGTACTGACAAAGACTTAAGTAAAGGGACTCTTTGTGCTAAAGAGAGTGAGGAATTTTTCTTTTAGATTTATCTTCAATTTCTTGGATAAGAAATAGTCTTATGTGTCCCTTCATTAGGAGGCAGCATTTTCTATAGAAGGCAATGATTTTCTGTATATGTAATGTATTTCATGGGGCAAAGGGAGGCTCAGGAACATAACTCCCATATTTTATCTTTTTTTTATGGGAAATTTGATCCGCTTAACGTTATTCCGTATAACGTCGTGTTTTGGGAACGTAACCCCGACGTTTAGCGAGGACTTACTGTTATATTGCCAAGCTTTTTTACATGAATTCTGTCCAAAACTCACCCTACTAGTTAAAATTGGGTGTGTCTTATATTCATCAAAAGTATATGCATCCTTTCTTTTGCCTCTGGATGATAAATTCTGGTGTTTTTACATATAGTACATACATATATAACTACTTAGTTTGCATTGGTACTCACCGATGGGCGGAGGTGGTAGAGCGAGTGTGTGGTGGGTAGTGAAGCAGAGGAGGTGGATGGAGGGTAGGGGGGAGAATGGCAGGAGCGGAGGAGGGTGGGAGCGGAGGAGGGCGGGAGAGGAGGAGGGCGGGAGAGGAGGAGGGTGGTGAGTCACTGAGACTCTGTGACGAGCCAAGAGAGCATAGTGGGGCCAGACAAGAGAGGGTGATGCACCATATAAAGTAGTCCGTGACGACACAAAACCACGTAGTTTCAGATCACCGGGACGTTAAACGAATTTTTGGTCTCTAAACTTTAGCAATGTACAGTAGCACCGAAACAACGTTAAGCGGGACGACGTTAAGCGCGGACTTACTGTACATCCAGGGCTGCCACAAGATTCCCACATCAAATTTCAAGAATACTCTTTCCACATTTAATCTCTTTAGTGAATCATGAAAGAATTAATTATCTTACAAAGTGATTATTACATACACCCACCTTTCGTTTTACGCGGGGATTGCTTTCTTGAAAACAACCGCTTAATTAAAAAAGGCGTAAATTAAACATAATTTTCCCATAAGAATACAGTACTGTACATGTAAATGGTACAGGTCAGGGAACCATCATATACCGTACAGGGTACGAACAGTGCTCTCACTTAAACCAAGCACATGGTCAACCTCCAACACACGCCTGTTTTTCGTGCCTTTTTAGCTTTAGGCACCCCATTGAAGGCAGATGGACATTTTCCAGAGATGTTGAATGGGAAAAACAGCGTTTAGCACTATAAAGGTATGTGATAAACACACAATGCAAATGAGAGCACAGAGAAAAGGTAGTGCTGGACGTTATCACAGTTGTTGTACAAAATACTTTATTATTATCATTATCTTCATCATTAGTAGTAATAATCTTTATTTTTACATGATTATAATACAGTAATTATTATTATTAATAATACTATTAAAATCGTTGATGTTGATATGACTGCGACTTTATTGTAATATCTTACAAGCACCTCACCAGGCATCACACACGACTCCACTGCCAGGCGACCAGGCGAATACTCGCGGCAAATTTAAACTGTCTTGACTGCGTTATTTAAAAAATAGGTGCGCTTAAATTAGCTTTTGGTATGAATTGAACAACCGGGTTATTCCAAAAAATGCTAAAATAAAATGCGCGTAAAACGCAAGTTTTCTGTACAAATAATATAATTTGACATAAGTTAGAGGGCACACACTGTGTAATAGACTCATCTGACACAATAATGGCATGTAGTATTCCTGCACTAGCGCCACACAGAGTGTGGAGAAGGGAAAACTTTCTTCCATGTTGCCGTAGTGGAGTTGCCATTTGTTATATACAAGGGGCCCCCCAAGTTTTGTGGATTTTTATTTCACGGCCCTCTATTATTCGCGGATGATATCCTGAATGTACCCAAGAATGTCTGTGGGTAGTTTTAAAGTTGCCGGCATTTTCGCAACTGGGACAGGGAGTCATTCGTTCTAGAGACGGTAATTGTCCTTTACCTGCATTGTAAATATATGTGTGTGTGTGTGTGTAGACACACACACAAAACACATACAAATAAATGATAATTGGAAAATCCTCTCACAAATAATCAGAAACAAATTTATTTAAAATGTGACAGTCTACCCTCAAGTCCATGCTTTACTACTATATTAATAGAGCTGTTTATATGTCCACAGGTTTTAAATATATCAGGTAATAGTGACATTACTGAGCTGCCACCTGAGATGGGTCTTTTATCCCGCTTGTGGAATCTCAACACACGAGGATGCTCACTGCAAGAGCCTCTGAAGTCCATGATTGAGAGTAAGAAGTACAAAACCATGGATGTCATCGGTTATCTCAAGGTCAGTCATTATGAATAAATATGATTGATAAGTATGTAATGCAAGATTTTACTGAATTTCTAACTCAAGTACAGTCAGGGTCAGGAATTTGATGTTGAGTCACTGTGCCAAATTTCCCCACCACCACCAACACACAGGGTGGAACTGGTAACTAAGCAGAGTGATTCAGGTCAAGACTCAACACACGAGATGGGGAGGAGGATATTTATTAATAATAGCCAATGATGGTAGTGATGAATGATGAGGAGTGATGCTAATATTATGTTTACTAAAGGAAGCAATCCACATAATTATAGTACGTATGTTTGTGTGTGTTTCCATTTACCTGTATATCTCAATATAATGGGGAAGTTGGATGTGTAACAACATAAGCCAGTGGTCACATGACATCAAACTACGGTAAGCGAAGCGTCACGTAGACATGATGATAGCAACACAGTCCTAAACAATATTTATGTTTACTACACATACAAAAACTGATCCACCATTGATATGAAGGTTCAAAATGTTCCTTATAATAGACTTAATGCTGGAAATCTACCATAAATATTGAGATAATATACTATGATACTTAACAGAATGTTGGCAGTAGATATTACATCATTTCCCTGTAAAAAAGATCTCCATCAAACATATATAACATGAGCAATGATTTCCACAATTGTGGAGAATATTTGGCTCAACCTTATAAGTGAATAGTGTATTACAAGGTATATTAGATGGGATGTATATTAGAACAATGAACCCCATCATTCGAGTTAGCTCTTGCCCCATGTTATTATATTTTGACTGATCTAAATAATTGCACAAATAACTAATTTCAAACAAGAGAAATGGATTGTCTTTACATTCGAGGAAAAGGAAACATGCCCTAACTTTGGGCAGATTTTTTTAATGTTCAAATTCCGTCTTATAAGCCGAGATATACGGAACTTGAAAAAACTCTCTGAGTTTCTAAACTATGCATCTTACACAGACAAACACTAGCCCACATCCTCAGAATGTTTCTGTGTGCTGGGGAGTTTTCCAAGAGTCTAAACTAAAAATGTAAATGATATGGTCGTGAATGAAGCTGTGTGTTACAGCAAGGACTGGTATTTTCCACTCCCTTGGAGCTGTGGGAGATTCGTGGGTGTTGTTTAACTGACCTGACCTGACACAATGACAGGTGGAAGTAGGGTGGGGGATTAGTGAGTCTAAGGACCTGAAGATGTTTTGAATAAACGTGGAAGCCTGATCATTGTTGCCAGGTCGATAGGTACTCATGGCGTCCAATTAAAACAAAAATACGCCCAATTTGAAATCTGTGTACGTACACAATAAAATCAAATTCTGTATTTAGCATCTATATGTGCAATATATTTTTTTCCATAAAATGCATATTATTGTATAAACAATATACAGGTACTATATGCACTGGGATACGGAAAAATCAAATACAGTTGATTTTCCTATTTTTTATTTTTTATTTTATTGCCCATTTATTTATTTATTTATTTATTTATTTATTTATTTATTTTAGTTTTCCGGGATGCGTGGTTAATCCGAAAGTCGGTTAATCGAGGGTCGGTTGATAGAGGTTTTGCTGTAATCACAATCTTATAAGAATTCCAGCAATGTAAATTATATTCTCCCCAGTCACTTCTGTGACTTTTATAAACCAAAAACAAAACCTCAATCTAAAGGACATAAATAAATAAATAAATACTTCACCAGACCTTCGGCGCCAACTGTCAAACGTGTCACTGTCACCTCCCCCCCCCATCTTCCCAGCCAGGGTTGGGTGGTTATAGGCTTACAGTTTGTATCTTATATAATATCACAGACTATAGTTAGGAGAATATACAGTAATTTGCATTGCTAGAATCCTTGCAAGACAGCAAATAATTTGAATATAAACGTCATATATTTTGCACAAGAGATAAAAATTTTAGCCCTTTGTAATAAAATTAATTAGAATATGTCAGTTCAGTGACATTTTATAAGAAAAAACTTAAAGTCACTCTCAAGGACAGATAAATAAAGTCACTCTTAAGGACAGATAAATAAATAAGCACTAGACCTTGGCATCAACTTTCAAACATATCACCTCATCCCCCCCCCCATCTTCCCATCAGCTGATCGCTACAGTATACTCTCGATTTAACGGAATCCGATATGACGAACTCTCGATTTAGCGGAAGGAATTTTCCGTTATTTTTCACTCGATTTAGTGAACTAATTCATTAAATTGTGATTAATTCCTTTAATATACTCACACCTATGGAGACACCTTAGACACATGATATGTACTTAGAAACATTAGAAACATGATTCATGGCTTACCTTAAACTACAGGGTTCGATGTTTGTTTTAAATTTTTCTATAATTTCCAAAATAAAAAATTCCAATTGATAGCTGCACTCTTTTGACTTTCTACCCCACACCATATCCTTTCTGAGACTTCTGAGAGACTTTCGTCATGATGTCTAACCACAGTAGCTAGTTGACCAAGATGTAGACCGAGAGGTAGCAGTGAACAACACACGCTGTGGTGGCAGATCACAGACTGAGCAGATGTAAACAAACCCTATGCACCAAGCGGTGCATTTGGCATGGAATTTAACATAATCACGTATTATTTAGAGGAAATTTAACGGAATCTGGTTGTATTTTGTGAACTAGTTCGCTAAATCGATCGAAAATAACAGAAATTCAATTTAGCGGAAATTTCAATTTAACGGAAAGGGAGTGGCTCGAATAAGTTCATTAAATCGAGAAAATACTGTACTGCAACGTTCCCGTTTGGAGACACAGGTTACCACAGGGGATGTAGGAACACATTTCCGCAACTACTACTGTGACCATGACAGGAACTGATAACATATATACGATAGGCAAAAGTATTCACTGAAAAGGAAATGAATAATTTTAAGGATGACTTGATAGACTACAAAGTGGTCAGTAATATGAGTATCTCAAGTGAGAAGAACCATCTCTGAGAGAAGGTACACCCTCTTTTTCATTTATCAAAGCCATACTTTCTTAGGCAACTGAGATACTAACAATTGTGTTTACTGCAGAGCATATTGGAGGATGCAAGACCATATGCAAGAATGAAATTGATGATTGTTGGAGTTCAAGGCATTGGAAAGACATCCCTGTTGGAGCAACTACGGCAGGAAGGGACTGGTTCCTACAGAAAAAAGCCAGTTGAGGTGAGTACAGTCTTGAGGTTTCTGTAATTACAGTACCATTTTTTATGTCCAAACATTTTATATTTTTGTAATTTGCTAATTATTTTATATATGTACTGCTATTGAGATTTACCATATTATTTAAGTTTCAGCAGAAACTTTTACACCACTTAAAAATAATGAATAAAAAGTTATTTAAAAACAGTAGTGTGGGGTTAATTATTGTGGAAATGAACTCACTCAGCCAAGCTAATTATTTTTTTATCTTGTTTATAGCACTGGGCAAAAAGAATGGGAAATAAAAACATCAACACACGTACTTCACGGGGCACCAGCATGTCCACTGTTGGAGTTGACATTGGAGACTGGATATATGAGAAAAAAGTCAGAGGCCATAGTAACTATGGTCCAGTGGTCTTCAGGTACTTATTAGATTGTGTTTTCAGTACATTGTACATTCCAAAACTTCATAAATATTATTACAGTAAAACCTTGATAAATCGGACTTCATTCTATCGGAATTCGCTTTTTTGGACTCTGAATACTGTACAGTGGTCTAATCAGATTTGCTATAGGCCTACTGGAAACTAAGACACTTGAGTTTGTAGGCAGGCTGGGGCTGATCAGGTGTTGCCACATTCATCAGGTTTATTTATTTATTTATTCAGTATTATCTTCTCATATGATTGGTCACTTATGGTTTATGGTTCATCATGATTAATATAACATCTTCAGTAATAGAGAAAAATACAATACTGTATGTAATTTGTAATATGACTAGAAAATAAAAGGATAAGCTGTATCAGAAGGTTATTTACTCAAGATGCGTTCGTGTGACAGCTTTGAGCAGACCAGCTTACAACAGGGGTCACAATAACACACTGTATAGTATTTGATTTGAACATACCTTCTAACAATGTTATTTACTACCTTTGAGTGATATATGATGGCTCAATTTGGCTACTTGTACACTTAGAAAAATGATTCATGAATAAACCAGAGTATAAGCAGATTCACAATATTGTTCACTACAATCAATATTACTTATTAAGTAATGATAAATACACGTTTATTAAGTGATAATAAATACACAGCTGTACTGGACTAATTTACTAAGTGTTGAAGACAGATGTTGCAGTAAGCCGATCAGCTGTTTGCCCTTTGTAGACAATGACTCATGGTGTTCAGTGTGGGACTTTTTTCAGGAAAGCTCATTCTTTTAGGATAATATTTTATCAACCTGGTACCAAATAATCCTAAATTATATGAGAATTGTTGTGAAAATGCATAAAGAAGTGTTAAAGGAGTCTTGGGGAGAGATGGGGAGGGAGCCACCCACCCTTGCTTTCCCCCAGTGGTGGGCACAGCTAAAAGAAAAGTTAGCTTCGCTAACCGCTAATCTGCTAACTAAAAAGTTAACTTCGCTAACGCTAAACCGCTAAACAGCTAAAAAAATTAGCGGAAGCTAATGCTAACCGCTAACTTTTATTATATGAATTTAGCTTTGTTTTTTTTTTGGCGGGGGGGGGGGGTCTAAAACCCTTAAAAACAGACCTAGAGAGCTGAAATTTTCATATGTAAGTTTTTAGAAAATTTTGTTTGGCGCACACCTTGGATGACATCCTGGTTATGAACTTATGCAATACTTAGCATAACCAAATATATTGACACAAAAAAATCCTAATTAAATTAACAAATAAATGAGAAATGAAATTATACATTAGTTTACAATTGCATTCTATGATTCTTTCAACATACACTGACAGTCTTCACCTTCCATAACAATAAGCGATAACGTACGCTCCTGTCGCTGACACTGTAAGACTCCTTAGACTGTCTGTAACGTGGCAACGTCGTAAGTGAACTGAACTCAGAACTGTGGAATTACACAATGCTGCTCAGCTGCTGCAGCGCGGCGTCGACAAATCATGTCTTGTCACGTTTACACGTACTAACACGCAGTCAGCCAAGCGTGCGTGACTGGCTGTTGGAGACACGCGTCGCGGCGTCACACGCTTACAACAGACAGGAACAAACATGTATAAATTTTGTTAGCGGACTTAAAGTTAGCGGAATTAAATTTAGCGGAAGCTAATTGGTCCGCTAATGGTTTCCAAAGTTAGCGAAAACACTAATCCGCTAAGAAAGTTAGCTTCACTAATTAGCGGATTAGCGGAACCATGCCCACCACTGCTTTCCCCCTTCCCCTCCCACTCCCCTCTGTCAGCTGCTCCCAGATAAACACTGGTCTTCCACATACAATATACAGGTACTCCTTCACTTATTTGTCCTTATTTTTATCTTTATAGTACAGTATTATACAGTACAGTATACAGTTTTTCCTTATTCATATGACAAATTCTGTGGTTGCCTACATATAACACTTCACAGTAAATAACAATCATCTTGGTGATAACAGTTGTTGACAACCAGACTTAAGTTTGATTTTTAACCCAAAGAGTTCTGTTTCATATTTTTCATTGTTATTGTAATATTCTTTTAGTAACCTTGTTATACACTTAAGACCTTAGTTGTTAAGTGCAGTAATAACATAACAACTGATTTTCTTTAAACAATTCAGATAAGCAGTGTTGTCTCCATATCTTAACTTTTTTTTTACTTTCTCATTTTACGGAATGGGTCTGCCCCAATTAGTCCGATTTATCGAGGTTATTCTGTATAGAGATTTTTTATATGCTCTGATTATGTGAATGAATATACTATTCTTTCCACTAAGCTGTACAATGGGCAATAGCCCCCAAATTAGAATTGTAACATAGATTAGTTTCAAATGTGATTAAATATTAGGTACAACTATGACCAAGTACTGCATGTATCATACCATCCAACTTTTACCTGCCCCTAAAATTGATACAATAACCTTACTGTGTATTTTGTTTGGATTTTTTTGTCACTGGTCTTAACATGCATCACTTGTTTAGTTTGTGTGTAAGCGCAAGTACTTTTTAAATTCAGTATCTTCCATACTTCATTTTTGAGACTTCAAATTCTTAGACCAATTTTTCTTAGCCACCAAGCCATTACTTCCGTATAGTATTCTTTGCAGTCTCCAATTGTCTTTTAAGTCAATCTTGAGAAGCCCCATTGATCATTCAATCAATAAATTGATTGAAATTATGTTAATTTTATTATTTTTATTTACTCAAAGCTTTTAATTAAAGAGGTGGACTCCACAGTAGATATAAGAAAGGCTGCCACCTTAAACATTAACCAGTTGCAGGAGAAACTTCCACATGCTATAAAACTGTTGTTTCTTCTAGGACATGGGACTTTGGTGGTCAGAAAGAGTACTATGCAACACACCAGTATTTCCTCTCCAAGCGATCTTTGTATCTTGTGGTATGGAAAATCAGTGATGGGGAGAGGGGTGTGGCAGAAATTCTACAGTGGCTTGTCAATATTCAGGTGAGTATCTAGGTAATTATAATTACCAGTGCTTATATTCATGTACAGTATTGTATTAATCCACATGAGTATATTTGTTTGTATAATAAGAGCTGAGTCACTATTATGTATTTTTCATCTAAATTTATTTAACTTTTAGTATGCATTTATGACTGCTGCTCGTGCTGATACTTGTTACCCCTCGTATTAGACACACAGTTCCAAACCACTTTATCACTGACCTTAATAAGCTGCATCCATTCAATTCTTACAGCTCTACATTTGTTCATTCTTTATTATTTCCATTGTGTGACATATATATTTTGCTAAAGAAGTGATTGCACTAAATGAAAATAATAATATTGTTATTTTTTAATAGTTAAATTTTTTATTCATCTAAATACTGTACATGAAATATGTTCTCTCTTGTATGTAATGTGTTCAGATTTCATTAAAGAAATTTAAAAAATCTGTTATAAAGATCTATTTTAGAAGTAAATTTTTACTTGCTCAATATTCCATTCAAGGCCCGAGCTCCCAACTCTCCTGTGTTGATAGTTGGCACGCACTATGATCTCGTTAAAGAAAAATTTCCGCCATCCTGGAGTGAGGATCTGCAGCAGATGATCCGTGACAAATTTATCAATGTTATTGATGCTGATAAATTGGGCTTGCCACGTGTTTTGGACACCATAGAGGTATAGTACACAGTCAGGCCTTTTATTTTATTACTTTATTCCACTTACTGAAAACACAATCTTGAAAGTTTCTAAGTAGAAGGTGAAATTGGATAATTATGTCCTTTTGATTCACTCTTGTTTCTACTGTACTGTGAATTTTGACTACCGGTATGTACTAGATAATTACTGTTAAATATTTTTGAATTAATTAATAAAGAATATGCAGATTTTGATACATATTATCTTATTGTGAAATGATGAGATGATACTGTATGCGAGAATGCTTCTGTGAGTGAGTTTGTGGGTTGACATAATGGTTGAAAATACAATATGTTCTCTGTTTTAAATTTAATGATTATGAAGCTTGGTAGCAATGAGAGAATAGTTTTCTTTTAATATTTATGTGGTTTAGGGAAATATACAGGTTAGGTACTGTCTGTAGAGTACAGTTATCTTGTGTTTTATTCATTTATGGTGAAAAATTTTTAAAAGTGTTTTAAAGTGGCATAACTGGTCATATAATGGACATGTAAGGCTGAAGAATAAAGGTATGAGACTTAGTTTTATAGACAATATACTTTACCAAGACAAAGATTTATTAAAAACAAATAAATTCAGATATCAGCTATTGTCTAATACTACATATACAATAGTTTAATATTTATACGACAAAGATCCATCATACAAGAAAGAATGGTAGGTTTGTAGTGGCAGCATGGAGAGTATAATTGCTCACCTCTGAACAGTGACTGCAGGCATACTGATATAGCCTAGTTGTTACATTTTGTGTTGTAAGTAAAATTGCATGTATTTTTTACCAAATAATTAGACTAAATAGCAAAAAGGACAATTAAGTTTATAAAATCTTACAGAAATACAATACCCATATTTGAACATTTAACTTACACTCCTCACTGCTGGAGATTTAAGAAAGTGAATTTACAAAACTTTACACCTCTGTATTGGCATTCGTACATGGCTGCCACTTCCCAAACAATGTAAGTGAACAAAACCAACAAAAGAAAAAGATTTTAATCATTAGAGAATGAGTACAGCCATGAGAAATTGGGTGAAAGTTTTATTGACAGGAATACTGAAGGGTATCATGCTAATTTTCCCAGAATTTGCTCAAGTAGTACATACTGTACTGTACTTAGGCAGGTAGTTCTTGGATGCTGAAAACTAGGCATGTAGTTCTTTGCTGAAAACTAGAGGACATTAATTGCAGCCAGATATCAAGCGTACAGATAGTCAATGTTTGACTATAAATGGACAGTACTTCAAATAATTATCATTGTGAGTTACACCTTTCTTTCTTTCTTCTTGCACTTGATAATCACCATGATATCTGCAGTATACAAACTATTCTCTATGTAATGTAATGTAATGAAATAGGATGAATTGTGATACCATATGCAAAACCAATAACGTCATGTGTAACCCCACTGATTTATGCACCTAAGATACTATTTCAGCCCCAGGGGATGGGTTGCCAAATACGAATATAACATTACTATGTTTTTGTGAATTGAGGTTACAATGAAATTGCTTCAAACGAAATATGAAACACTATGATAGGATTGTAATCACTCATAGGAGCAATTGTGGTTGTGCAGGACACTAAGACCCTCGTCGTTGACACGATGAGTATAATTCGGTCAAAACCTGTTGAATTCATTTCACATATAACAACTGCTGATACATCAAGACACACAGTTTGAATAATATGATCAATATACAGTACAGTACATAACCTGTTAAATATAACTCACATATAACAATTGCCGATACACCAGGACATACAGATTGAATAATACAATCAATATACAGTACATAACCTGTTAAATATAACTCACATGTAACAACTGTTGATACATCAGGACATACAGATTGAATAATACAATCAATATACAGTACATAACCTGTTAAATATAACTCACATGTAACAACTGTTGATACATCAGGACATACAGATTGAATAATATGATCAATATACAGTACAGTACATAACCTGTTAAATATAACTCATGTAACAACTGTTGATACATCAGGACATACAGATTGAATAATACAATCAATATACAGTACAGTTCCTAACCTGTTAAATATAACTCACATGTAACAACTGTTGATACATCAGGACATACAGATTGAATAATACAATCAATATACAGTACATAACCTGTTAAATATAACTCACATGTAACAACTGTTGATACATCAGGACATACAGATTGAATAATATGATCAATATACAGTACAGTACATAACCTGTTAAATATAACTCATGTAACAACTGTTGATACATCAGGACATACAGATTGAATAATACAATCAATATACAGTACAGTTCCTAACCTGTTAAATATAACTCACATGTAACAACTGCTGATACATCAGGACACACAGATTGAATAATATGATCAATATACAGTACATAACCTGTTAAATATAACTCACGTGTAACAACTGCTGATACATCAGTTGAATATGATCAATATACAGTACATAAATACACTTATTAAAGTTATTTAGAGTTCTCAGAGGATTCAACAATTCACAATCACACTCACGTTTTCGGGTCAAGGGTTAGACCAACGAGAACAAATATAATGCCCTGCAGGAAGATGTTGGCTGACGAGAATCAAGATGTTGCCTCTACAGTAGAAGGCGATAGACTATCCCTCAGGCAGTCACACAGCTGCTACCAGCTCCATCTTGCTTAGGAAGCTATTCTGAGTTGTAAACAGTCTCTTCACTTAACATGTGGCCGGCACGCACAGTTGTGCGTGGCGGTAACACAGATATTACATTCATTTGCAAATACAGCTCCTCCCCGACTTACAACCTACTCGACCTACGACCACCCGCACTTATGACCTGCCTCAGTCCGTAACAACCTTCTGCACATACGACTGCCGCAGTCAGAACAAAAATTTTGTCAAATGACGAGCGCAAAAAGTTTACATTGTGTTGATGCATACAACGAATGAATGGTAAAATATTCACATTGATATTCAGTATGACGAGACATTTGATAGCAATAAATGAAAAATAGATACGGTACCAGGTATGTTAAATGACAGCATTTAAAATATATTATAATATTGGTGCTTGATTGAGGTACAGTTGCTAAAAAACCTATCTTTACTGGGGGGATTGATGAATTTCAGAAGGAACACTATTACTCCTGTTGTTTCGGGAGGGTTGTCAAAATTCTTCGTCCATTGTGTCATATTGTTTTAGAAAATTTTTGTAAAGATACTGTAGTTTCTTGATCGACTGTATATATGCTTACAAATTTGCTATGACATCGCCAAATTATATACTGTATATTTTTTTTTTCAGGTGAGCTGCAAGACGAGACACAACATCAAATTGCTAAGCAACTTGATATATGACACAGTCTTCAGTCTCAAAACTCCTGGTAATTACAACTATAATTTACATTGTGTAAATATTAATAATAATAATAATAATAATAGTAATAATAATACTACAGTAAACTCTCTCTAATATGGACTAATTGGGGGAAGGCCTTTCTGGGAAAAATCCTAGAGGGTGGGGGATTTTTGAGCCAAGCTACTGAAAAACATTGAACCTACTGTAATTTTTAACCTAGACTTAAAATTCTCTGGGTTTCTATACACAGTGATGTATGAATGTTTTTTAGCTGCTTGGGGTTTTACCATTTATGGAAAAAAGTTCATTTTTCCTCAGTCACTCATATGCTCTTGGCAGCATGGGACTGGCTCTTGGTACAGCTGCACTCACCAAGCATCTGGTGTTGCCAGGAGCTCTCATATATTTGGCAGAAGTTTGTTCTGTCTCAGCTGTGTAATACACCATGCAATTGAACCCTCATGCCCCAAAAATATCTCCAATTGCTGACAACCTGTTAATCTTTGTCACGATGGTCTGAATCACGCATGGCTCTGGTGATTAGGCAACTCGATGATCTCTTTCTCTGACAATGATCTAGTCAATGAGATGCCATTGTTTGGATCGTGGGTGTATCCAAGAACCATTGAACTGGTTGGGCTGCCGAAACAAGGTGTTGATGATAGTGCGGCTGTGTTCAGCGCACTTGCTGAGGAGGAGTAGGCCATTTCCTACTCCATTTCTTCCTATGGTTTCCTGTGATAAGTCAGCATCTCTGCTAACTCAGGCATTATTATGGTCAGCACAGAAGGTCTACTTGATGTCCTGCTCTGCATCCAGTGTTGGGGCTTATGCACCAATGAAGGAGGCTTAACGCGAGTCATTCAGTGGGACTCGGAGCGTCATGAGGCACGCATTGACTCCAACAAACATTTCAGTTAGCCTTTGCAAAATGAATTGACAAATGGCAAAATCAACTCCAGAAAAGCAATTTTCCCCCTTAGAAGGCTTACCCTTCCAGAAGAAGGTATAGCCCTGTTCTGTGACTTGACCCTCTTCTGGGAGCCAGGACCTAGTAATGGCTGCAATGTCAATTTTTTATGTGGACAGCTCTTTTGCCATAAGGGCGGTTCTTCTTTCAGGATGCTGACTTGTGCCAGCATCCAGAAGGGTCCTGACATTCCATGCAGCAACCATAAGAAGTTGCATCGTTTGAATTTGTTTTGATCCATTGTGAAGATTTTGACCGTATTAGGATGACTTTACTGGGTGCAGTTCCCTCGTCAGGTGGATTTTAGGCAGACTTTGTTTAGGGCACATTTTGTAGCCTCTCCACATGTGGGGTGAGCAGAGTGGCTCCTGAAAGGGTTGTTCAGCCATCAGATGGACTGGATTGCGGAGTTGTGGCTAGGGACTCTTGGCAGTGTTCTCTGCCTGTCCCTATTGCCACTTGACTGTCACCATAGGACTTTTGGGGGTTTAGGGGCTCTGAAGATAATGGAAAATGTGATGAGATGGATGATGGCTGCGTGTGAGTTGTTATATTGGTGAGGCAGGAGCACTGGATACAACCACATCTTGGCTCTCCCTTTTCCTAATCCAGTGGTGTAGGTAGTTGCAACAACTGGGGAGAGGGAGAGTTGCAATGGACTGCTAATAGCCCAGTTTGTTGGGTTTTGCCTTTGTAGCCTGTCCATCTTACATTGCCCTCATTGGCTGGAGTACCTGTAGGGATCTTGTGTTGGTCACCTCTTCCACCTATTCTGTCATTGCCCAGAGCATTTGACTGCAGGGGTTGCCAGGTTATGTGTTTGTCCATTATCTGCTTCAAGGAGCTCAATCCAGTTTACTGTCTTGAGTTTCTCCCATAGCCTTTCACTGAAGATGTGTGACCACAATGCAGTGGTAGACATCCACCCTCATGCACACTTGATTGTGGGCTCTCTTGACATTTTCAGCAAACACAGCAGCTGATGATGGGAATGCTATAAGTCGAAGAGTAAATTAATTACTTTGTCTTCATTCATTCATTTTAATATACTTGATACCTCACTGCTGACATGTCATCTGTCTCACTGGTTTTGATTCCATAGCATCCTGCAGCAAATTTTGGAGCTTGTGCTCCAACATCAACCATATTTGCCTTTGGGTCACCAAGTTTGATTAATTTAATGTTGTGCATGCAAAGCTTTAAGGACTGTACTTTTCCCATTACCCCACATTTGGGCAAAAATATTACATCCTGAAAGTTTGTGAGCACCAAGAAGTGATGGCATTACATCTTTGTATTACTCTGAATTAATTCTGATATTAATGGTTGTTCTTTTGGAACTACTTCCCTCCACAAGGAGTGTGCTTTGCATATTCCTTTCAGCATAGTAGTGAAGCAACAGGATAAACACATCAATGCCATTTGACTATACATATAGGCATTTTAATCCTCTTTTGCTGCCTCAATCATAACTTACTGTGACATTGTGACGTCTGCCTCCTCATGCAGCATTTTCATATCCTGTCTTGATATAACCACTCAAGGTGAACTTGCTGTGAGATCGGATGAGAGCTTGTGACTATCAACTTGTGGTTGAAAGCCTTTTCCATACTCTGTATGGAATACTCGCACAAATAATCTGAAACAAATTTATTTAAAATGTGGCAGTCTACCCTCAAGTCCGTTTTCTATTACAGTACCTTATTAATAGAGTACAGACTTGAGGGTAGACTGTCACATTTTAAATAAATTTGTTTCTGATTATTTGTGAGAGGATTTTCCAATTATTATTTATTTGTATGTGTTTTGTGTGTGTGTGTGTGTGTATACACACACACACACACACACAATACTACAGGTAAAAGAAATAATTGTCGTAAGGGCAAACACATGAAGGAAATACAGTACGTATACATTTTTTTGTACACAAGTAAAAATGTAACCCCCTCAAGACATTTTCAGAAAATTTTCTTGATTTTCAACCTTGGAAAATTTGTTCCTAATGCCGGAAATTTTTGGAAAATTCCGGCATTAGGAATGATTTTCCGAGCAAATTTCAATTCCTGCTATCGGAGATTTCCGGATTTGAGGGATTCTGGCTAATGGAGATATTACTGTATATGGAGGGGGTGGGAGGGGGGTAGATAACACTGCCTATCTGAACTGTTAAAGGAAAATCAGTTGTTTTGATGTTATTACTGCACTTCAACAACTAAGGTCTATAAGTGTATAACTACTGTAGGTTATTAATAGAATATTACACCAACAATAAAAAAAAAATAAGAAACAACTTTCTGGGTTAAAAATCAGACATACAGTATAAGTTTGGTAGTCACCGAGATGATTGTTGTTTACTGTAAAGTGTTATAGGTAAGTAACCACAAAATGTGTCTTATGAATAAAGAGAAAACTGTATACTGTACAGTACTATAAAGATAAAAATAAGAACAAATAAGTGTAGGAGTGTATTGTATGTGGAAGACCAGTGTTTATTTGGGGAGCATTGGCAGAGGAGGGGGGGGGGTAGCACAGGTGGGTACTCCCTCCCCCAAGATTCCTTTCGCACTTTATGCAATTCCACCACAATTCTCATATAATTTTTGTATCATTTGGTGTCAGGTTGATAAAATATTATCCTAAAAGAATCAGCTTTCCTGAAAAAAAATCCTTCACTGAACACCATGAGTCATTGTCGACAAAGAGCAAACAGCTGATTGTCTTACCACAATGTCTGTCTTAAATTAGTATAGTACAGTTGTGTATTTATCATCATTTAATAAATGCTATTGCGTGTATTTGTCACCATTTAATAAATACTATTGTAGTGTATTAAATTTTATCATCACTTAATAAGTAATATTGTAGTATACAGTACACTATTATGCATCTGCTTATACCCTGGTTTATTCAGTAATCATTTGTCAAAATGTACAAGTAGCCAAATTGAGCCATCATATATCACTCAAAGGTAGTAAATAACATTGTGAGGAAGGTATGTTCAAATCAAATACTATGCAATGTGTTATAGTGACCCCCGTTGTAAACTGGTCCTGTCACGTGAACGCATCTTGAGTAAATAAACTTCTGATACAGCTTATTCTTTTGCTTTCAAGTTATATTACAAATTACACACAGTATTGTATTTTTCTCTGTTATTGAAGATATTATATTAATCATGATGAACCATAAACTTTAAGAGGCCAATCATATGAGAATATAATACTGAATCAATAAATAAACCTGACAAATGCAGCAATGCCTGATCAGGACCCAGCCTGCCTACATAGTCAAGTGTCATAGTTCTCAGTAGGCCTTTAGTAAATCTGATTAGACCACTGTATGGTATTTAGTAACTTGTTCATTTCATAAGATTTTTTTGTATTAATCTTCCCTATTTTTAAAACATGGATTTTTTTTGTTCTGGTGACCAGAGCATCTCAGTAAAAAAGAAAAAACGAATTCCGATATATTGAAGTCTGATTTATCAAGATTTTACTGTAGTGCATTAATTAAGAATTAGTGCACTCTCAGCCAACCTAGCTTATTCTGTAAAAACATTTCTCTTGTACACCTTCAGGGAGCAAAGAACGGTTACTTGAGCAACGCATTCCGGCCTCTTACCTTGCTCTTGAAGATGTAGTCAGTGTTCTGGCCTTGGAACGACGGGTTCAAGGCCGGGACCCAGTATTGCCTGCAGACAAATATCAAGCCCTTGTTACTCAGGAGATGTCCAGTAGAGGTCACCGTCCATTCAGGGATGTAGCTGAGCTCAACCAGGGCACAACTTTTCTCCATGAGAATGGTATGTATGCTTTACACTTACTACTTACGGTACTAACTTTTCAACAAGATGGCTGATGATTGATCATACTGTATTAAAAAAGACCATTTGATGTAACTTTAGAACCTAAAATGTTTCATATTTTATTCCTAATATGATCTTGACATTAAAAAAAAATTATTATTTTGTCCTTCCTACAGGTGTTATGCTTCATTATGAAGATGCAACTCTGAAGGACTTGTACTTCCTTGATCCTCAGTGGCTGTGTGACATGTTGGCCCATGTTGTCACTATAAGAGAAATCAACCCCTTTGCTCGCAATGGTTAGTGACAACAGAAGGTGTAGACTCAACAACATCAATCTATATACTGTAGTTGTAATAGGGGATGAATTTGACATACAGTACATAAATATTAATTTAGTTTTGCATCTTCTTAGTACAATACATTATAGTCCAAGATTTTAATATTATTATGCTGTATTTTTTTTTTACATGTTTAGTCTTTTTTCTGAGTACATTCTTCTTTTTCAATTTATAACTTCCATTAGTTTTCCTACACCTACCCCATTTGTTTGTAAATCCATTATATTATGGGGTTAGGGACCTCAAAAGCCATTCCGTAAGATGATCGATCGTATACCGATATTAATAACTTCTGGGGGAAAATCGATTATGTTCCTCAGACCCTGAAAAGCCAGAGTTAGCACTCAGAGTAGTTATTTTGCAACTTGTGATTTCAGAGACATTTATTTTTCTTCATTTTCTATTACTCTGTTACATGCAAACACAATATTTCATACTTAATGTGGTAAAAAAATTATTATAAGGTCAAAAACATAAAGGGAATAAATATTTCTTATCTGTGCAGGAGTTATCACACACAGCAGGGGTGGGGAAAGTGGAGTGAGGGTTCTCAGCTGGTCTCTGTCTGATGTCCCATGTGTAGTGACACAATTACCAAATGGCAATGCAATATTTTGTTTTACATGCATTGACCATTATACAATGGATCAATATACTGTTTGCTCGGTCAGTTTTATGATGTAAAAAAAATAACAATGGCTAAAGATCAGTTTTACAGTGGTCGCTAGCCAAATGCTTTTCCTGTATTCCCCCGACTTTGAAAAAGTAATGTGCAATAACTCGCAATATTCCAAGATGCAATATTCCAAGATAAGATGACACAATTTTGGAATGATTGAACACATGTGACCCACGCGGGAGGTTCTGCCCGTCCTCGGGGATTTCCAGAACTAAGCAGTTGAACTGTCACATCGCCCAGAGGATGGTTTGCATGTGGAAGCTATTCTTTGTATATAATAATAAAATTTATTGTACCATTAAATGTGAGGAATAAATAAAAATAATAGTAATAAAGGAAAGAAAAAGACTGCGTTGCCATTTCACAATCATTTTCCGGGACACGTGACACAGAACAGCTAAGAGATCCCCCATGCCGCTCCTCGCTCCCCTCCCCTGCTCTGTCGGCTAACCACTGATCGCAAAAGAACTGTTTATTCCCTTTTATGTTTTTGACCTTAAGATAATTTTTGTTTTTTTATTTTGTTTGCACATGCTGTCTGAATGATTGAGTATCCTTGTAACAGAGTAAAAGAAAATGAAAAAAAAAATATGTATATCTCCCAAAAATTACGAGTTGAATACATAACATAGTTCACAGATCAGCCTCACCCACTCTGAGTGCTACTGGATGGCGATTCGGTTACGCAATTACATGCCATCATCATGTTACCTTCGGTTTACCTGTTGTAATCACTGATGAAGAGTATGTAGAGTCAGTTTTAAATGTGCATTGTAAGTAACATTCATAAATGTTTATGGGTTAAGTTTTCAAACCCAAATGGTCTTTTCTCCATTTATTAAGAAATTAACTATTGCACAATAACTAGGATATCACCGTAATTAATGCTATGAGCTGTGAGCATTAATAAGGGACAGAGCGTATGTGTAACGAGCTTCGTTGAACACACGTCTTATGTGGGTGAGAGATGGGAGACAGACTGGGTAGAAGCTGGCTACTTAATTGATGACTCTGCAGTCAAGGTGAGAGCGCTCATTGGAAAATTAGTGTCATTTGTCCAGTTGATGATTACTCATGGCTCATAGGCTAGTTACCATGGGTGATGTAATTATATAACCATAATGTATGTAACCCAAATTCATATAAGTATTACTGTCTATTTGATAGGCCTAATACATTGCTCAGCCACCACCCTCCGAGTTCTAAGAGGAGTAAACTTACCACTTAGTATAACATAACATCTATGGATGCCTATCCACGCTGTAAAAGTTAAAGTGTACTGCAGCTAAACTGAGGAATGTACAGCCTAGGGTTGAGTGTCTGAATTTCTAGCCTTAAGTGCCTTATGTCTGAGGGCCTTAAAATGTACAATTGAGCCCACTGCAGTACTAAGGGCACAAGTGCCACCACGCCCAAAAGCGAGTTATCAGCACAGCAAGTTTCGACAAATTTTCTCTATCACAAAGTGTGTCGTATGTGGATGACCCAGCACCTGTTGTGAGGGAAAGTGAGGCGAGTGAACTCGAGGGTGGGCCATCACGGGGCCGTAAACGTGGGAGAGTAATGTTGCAAAAAGGCTTTGTATTGTTGTTTTGAACATCAGCTGATAAGCTGAGGAGGTACTCGGCCAATTCAGTAATCTTTTCTATGTTTACATTTGTTTCCAATGGAGTAAATATCAAGAAAATTGTGCTCTTTAATATTTGTGTATTTTTTTTATACAGTATCAAAATTATTGGTCATTCTAAAATTTAGCCATCCAAGCTCGTCTACATAAAGTTTTTCAACTATTATTTTTGGCTCGATATATGTAACTTCATTTATTGAAATTCATTTACATGCACACACTGTCCTAAGGGCAAAGCTGAACTGTACATGTAATCAGAATAATGTACAAAATGATTACTAAAATTTTTGTCTAGTGCAAACTATGGCATGTTTATATTCAAATTAATCACTATCTTATAGGAATTCCAGCAATGTAAATTATATTCTACCTGGTCACTTCTATGAATTTTATAAGTAAAAAACAAAAACTCAATCTAAAGGACATAAATAGACAATTAAATACTTCATACCTCCGCGCCAACTGTCAAACATGTCACTGTCACCCCTGCCGCCCTCCCCTCCTCCCAGCAAGGGTTATTTGGTGGTGAAACTGTACAGTAGTAGGCTTTAAATTTTTATCTCATATAATATCACAGTCTAAAGTTAGGAGAATATAATTTGCATTGCTGGAATCCTTGCAAGACAGCGAATAATTTGAATATAAATGTCATATATTTTGCACAAGAGATAAAAATTTGAGTACTGTACTGTACATTAGTTTAGTACATTTTATAATGTAAAGTTTTTCAACTATATTTTTTGGTAGATTTACATAAATTTCTTGATTTATTTTCATTCATTTACATGCACACACCATACTAAAAGAAACATAAAACAAATAAATGACCTTAGTGCAAACCTGGAGTGTACATGTACAAAATGATAAAGGTACTAAAATTGTTATGTCTGGTGCAAATTATAGCTTGTTTATATTCAAATTAATCACTATATTATAAGAATTCCAGAAATGTAAATTATATTCTCCCCGGTCACTTCTATTAATTTTTATAAGCAAAAACCAATAACTCAATATAAAGGACTTAAATAAACAAAAATACCGGGGTCTAAGTGTCAAACGTATCACATCACGTCACCTCCTGTTCCCCCGCCCTCCCTCCCCCTCATCTGCCCAGCCAGGTTTTTATCTTATATAATACAGTATCTCAGACTAAAGTTAGGAGACTATAATTTGCATTGCTGAAATCCTTGCAAGACAGCGAATAATTTGAATATAAACGTCATATATTTTGCACAAAAGATACAATTTTTGCTCTCTAATAAAATTCTTAAATTAGATCTAAAATTTGTATGTCTAATGCAAATTATAGCTTGTTTGTATTCAAATTAATCACTATCTTATAAGAATTCCAGCAATGTAAATTATATTCTCCCCGGTCATATCTATGGAATTTTACGAGCAAAAAGAAAAACACCAAAAAAATTAATACTTCATCAGACGCACTAACTGTCAAAGTACAACTCACCTCCCCCCCCCCTTTTCTGTCCCTCCCTCCCTACCCCTGCACCTCAGAAAAAGGTTTGGGGCTTTCCTGTAGGCTTACAGTGTTTATCTCATATAATATCTCAGACTAAAGTTAGGAGAATATAATTTGCATTGCTGGAATCCTTGCAAGACAGTGAATAATTTGAATAGAAATGGCATATATTTTGCACAAAAGATAAAATTAATCACCTGTATCACATTACAGTAGTGATTTAAGAGTAAGATTGTATATGTACGTATATATATATATATATATATATATATATATATATATATATATATATATATATATATATATATATATATATATATATATATATATATATATATATATATATATATATATATATATATATATATATATATATATATATACAGTTGTACCCCACTTAACGCAGTCAATAGAACCCAGAGGGTCCCGTGTTAAGTGAAATCCGCGTTAAGTGAGCAACAGAACATATGGGATTAATTCCAATAGAAACCAGCCCGACCCCCAAACTCCACTTTTTGAAGACGCATAACTATGTTGTAGTAAAAATAACATCTTAATTTTATGATGGTACATGCACACAATTAATACTTAAGAGAAATAGAGAAATACAGTCGCCAAGTTAATGTCCATTCAAATAATGGACTCGACTCCCTCCCCCTCTCACACTACACTCGCTGGCTCTTCCCTCTGAGAAATTTTGGGGGGAAAACCAGGTATAGTAATAAATAATTCCTCAAACTAAAGTTAGGATAATATAATTGACATTGCTGGATTCCTTGTAAGACCAGGAATATTTTGAATATAAATGTCATATATTTTTCACAAAAGATAACATATTTACTCAGAATAAACTTTACATCTAAAATTTGTATGTCTAATGCAAAATCTATGATGTTTATATTCAAAATGATCACCAAATTATAAGAATTCCAGCAATGTAAATTATATTCTGACCGGGTAATTTGTATGAATTTTATGAGCTAAAACAAATATCTTCAGTTAATAAAAAAAAAAAAATATTCTTCACTGTAACAGATGGTCGGTCGGTCCCTCCCTCCCCCCCACCCCCCACCAACCGTCTCACCAGATGTGTGGGAAAACCAGAATATTTACCTTTTAGTAATAAATAATACCTCAAACTAAAGTTAGGATAATATAATTGACATTGCTGGATT